CACATGACGCCTTGAGGATCCACATCACAGTTGATGAAAGCCGATTGGTAATCAGCTTCACCTTCTCCTAGGGTGAACCTTGCGATCATCTCCGCCCTTACATCGTCGGTGGGGTTACAGAAGTCACTGCCCTTGACAATATATGGGATGTTTCCCTCTACTTCTAACATGATTTTCTTGTAGTTCGGGGAAACCATGTACGGGTTGCCGCAGGCTGGCCATATGAATGTGTAACCTTCCTCCATGCATTTCTTTCCAACAGACAGTACTGAAGGAGACTCATCTAAGACGAATGGGGAGTAGGTAGAGTCAAATTCGTCGAAATGAATATCGGCGACTCCCTTTGTGGATGTCACTCCATTTGCGGTATAGAATGACATTGATTGGTCGCTTTCTCTCACTTCCAGACCTAATTTCTTGGCTCTGCCTTTCGATATCAAATCATACCCACATCCTGTGTCCATGATGAACTTTGTTCTTGACCCTTTGGCTGGAATAGACAATGTCTTTGTGTCTGCATGATCTTTCTTTCCCTCGCATACATGAGGAATGACTTTATGATGGAAAACTAGGCCGTCATCTTCGTCAAAAGACATAGTGACCGCTAGGTCACCCTTTGGTCCAACTGGTATTCGGACCCTCTTGATCTCAGTGTAGGGGACCATCAATATGCCTCTTGCCTCTGCGACCTTTTCTTCAAATCTGATTTGTTCTTTCCTCGTGTAGCGGGTGAGCTCTTTCTCATCGTATCGTTTGATGTCTGGACGTAGAGGTTTCCTTTCTACTACCTTCCATTTGTTCCTGACTGAGTAGATCGCTTCGTTCAACATGATCTCACAAGTCTCTTCATCAAAGGATACTTTTGCACCTCCTTCTCTTGCCTTGGCGGATGCAGCAATCCCTTCATCTTCGGATTCGTCCATGAAGAGTTCACCGTCAATGGCTGGGGCTCCAGGCTTCGCCTTAGGCTTCGGTTTGGGTTTTGCCTTGGGCTTTGGCCTATCGTCTCCTGAGTCAGCTGGTGCAGATATCCCTTTCTTAGGAGAGGCTTTCGGGTCATGGTAGAACTTGCAATCCTTCCCTTTGTCACAAGTTCCTCGAATCCACATCCAACATACTGGCTTGTCATTCTTTCCGACAGAAGATCCTCTGGATGGTGATCTGGGTTTCTTGTGACTGAATGGGCAATCTTTCCCCATAGTGCAGTTACCTTTCACGAAGTATTTGCATGGTATCTTCTTCTTGTCTGTACTCGGACTTCGGCTGCGATCCTTTCCATCACCTTTACCTTTCCCCTTTCCCTTTTTGTTCTTGTCTTCAGGATGCTTCTTGGGATTGGGTTTCGGCTTCACTGCAGCAGCGTCTTCTGAGACAACCTGTTCTTGTTGCCCTTTTGGTTTCTTCTTCGGATCAGCTGGTGCAGCTTTCAGTTTTGGAGCAGGTCCGCCTGGTTTGAGATTCTGAAAGATATTGGCCACATTCTTCACTGCCTTCTCCTTTTCCAGGATCATCCTGTCTTCAGTTTGCCGTTCGATGTGCCTTCTGATCATATCACGTAGATGTTTGTATGTCTTCTTGGCATCATCGTCGTTCATGCTGTTGTAGGCGCTGATGTCGTATGCCATGAGGTTTGAGTTCCTGATCTTTCTCCATAGGAGATCCCGAAGAGTTTCGTCGCTCGGGACGTCAACGGGCTTCATTCCTGCCAGAATCTCATCCCAAGTGTGGAAGAACAACGATAAGTTCTTGTCTCCTTGATATTCTAGTTGGTAGAGGTGCATTGAAGTATATAAGACTTCCACATTTGATGTTGTCTTGAAATTCATAAGGATCAGGGCTAGGACCTCTCTTCCCTTTATGAGGCTTGATGTTCTCCCTTTTGCATTGATCCTCGTCCTCAACTTCATAGCTACACCTGAACCATCATCTTTCGCATCCATGACGACCTTGGTAAGAGCTAGGCCGAGTTTGGCATCGATTGAATGGAATCTTTGGTCTCCTGAGTCGACAAACTTGTCCGGATCAGGATCGTCCATGGCTTCTTTGATCCAGTCGATCCAGGGCTCTTGATCTGAATCATTGGCCGCAATGATGATCGATTGAATGAGATTTGCCTTCCATAGTCCAAGATCATTGATCCTGGGCCATGACGGAACGTTTATCTTTGATTCTTCCTTCCTCGATACTTTCATGATTGTAGAGGTTGCCGGTGCAAGATGAGATGAAGAGGATGCTTCTGCTTCTGAAATCTTGTCCCTCAATGATTTGTTCGCCTCGGATAGCTCAATTGATTTCTCCCTTTCCTCGGCGTACTCATTGTGGGTTTCGGCATACCATTCATACATCTCATCTCGGCTCTCTGTCATTTCATTGTACCCGTCCTTGTAGTGCTTCGCCTCCTCTTTTGCGTTCCGAATCTCATCTTCCTCGGACGCGTGGGTTGGTAACCCGCGGTCTCTGGAACTAGGACGCTTGCTGTACCGAGAGATTATGGGTGCCATTCGTGCTTCTGCTTTTAATTTCGCATTTTCCATAATGACATTCTTTGTCTCCTTCTGGCTTTCCAATAGTGCATTCTCCAGTTCTCTGATCTTCTGTTGAATTTCAGCACCATCATCGCCGAACATAGGAGCTCTCATCATATTCTCTCTTTTCAGCTGTGCGTTGGCTTCGGATAGAGCGAGGTTGGCGTCTTTCAACTGTTGTCGTTCACGGATGGAACCTTCTAGGACTTCGTTGTTGAATATTTCTCCTTTTGCGATAACCTCCTTTGCGACGTTTGCTTCGTATTCATGGTGGCTCGCCTTCATTTCTGCCATTTCTTTAGCAGAGACTTCAGTCTGGCATACAAATATCTCCATCCTCATGCCCACTTCCATCTCTTCTATCTCCGCTCTCGCGTTGAGTTCAGCTCCACGTGCCATAGCTAGTTGACCTCGTAGATGATCAATAACCATAGCTTCCTGATTGCTCTGATCTTGAGATGAGTGAACACAGTGTTGAAGACGTCTTTCCCTGACCTCACTGTTCCATTGTTCTTCTCTCTGGTGTTGGATCACCTCGTGCATGTTGACATTCTCATTCTGTAGCGCAATCATTCTAGCTTGTATCTGGTCAGCTATTCCGACGAAGGCTGTGTTCTCATCCTGAATGGCTTTTGATCTTCTATTGATCGCCAATGAAGATTCATTCTGTTCTTGGATGTGTCCAATTGCTGCTTGAAGCTCTTGGGACATTCTGTCCTTCGTTGCTTTCACAGATTCAAGCTCTGAATGTTCTTGATGAGTTTCTTGTGCAAGCTCTTGATATCTCATGTAGATATGTTCAGCTGTCGATTCCGCCAAGCGTAGCTTGTGTTCGAGCTCTTCAATTCTTATTGTCGCTCCTTCATCTTCCTGTGTCATCTCTTGTAGATGTTCCTGCATCTTCCTGTTGTAGTCAGACATTTGCCTGAACTCCACTTCAGCCTCGTGGTGTAGTCGTGAGTATCCGGCTTGGATGCATTCATATTCTTCATGAAGAAAATTGTATGCGTTTCTCGCCGATCTCAATTCTTCACCCAGCTGAATCTCTCTTCTTTGCTCTTTTGTTCCTCTATCATCGTCACGTCTCTTCTCTATACTCCTTCTTGGGGATCTCGCGGTAGACGTTATAGGCGATGTAGATCTTGTTGTAGCTCTCATCGATCTTCTTGGTCCTACGGGTGCAAGATCGGTCAGATTCCGAGCCGGTGGCACGGATCTTTCCGAGATTTGTGATCCAGTAGGCATAGTGATAACGTCAGCATTTGCTGATGAATCAGTACCCATTGTAGAGTCTGGTGACGAAATGGTGTTGGGACCACCAGGAGCAGCGAATGAATAGGGTTCGCTTCCATTTCCTCCTGAGCTTGACATTGCAGGTTTCTGTAATGACTAGTCTTGTTCTTGGTCTCGTGTAGCTCGTACGGCTATAAAGAGCGCGTACGGCTGATAACCTGCGAGTGGATCTTAATCAGCGAAGTTTGAAGCTATCACTGACGATCCATAAGCGGCGTAGCGTCGGAACGGAAACCGCACCTTTTCTAGTCGCTTGATCCTTGAGCCAAAGTACATATGGTACATATATATGTACAAGTTGCACTGTACGTGTCGCTGCACTTCCATTCGCATATATATATATATATGTGTGTGTGTGTATTATATGTGTGTATGTACAGATAGTCAAACAAAAAAGGGAGAGTACAAGTCGTCTGAGAAAGGGTTATCCAAAAGAGGGCTGCCATTAGTACAGACTTTGCACTTCTAGACCGCTGCTCCCGATTTAGCATTGCAGTTGCTGCTGTAGGTGTGCAAGCGCCGCGTGTCGAGTGCTCAAACGTGAGGTGAGGTGTTAATTTGGTTTGGTGCCGGTGAACCCTTTGCGAAGATCGTGCACGCTTGGTGCTGCCTGTGGCACGAAATTATATGTCGCTACGCCATGCGGTTTTGCGCGGCCTCGGTGGAAAGTGTGTTTGCATGGCTCCGTGCCATTGGGAAACAAAAAGCACGCGTGCGTAAACGCGGCGTCGCTGGTGAGCGGTACAAGTGGCTGTTGCCCAAAAGAGCAACAAGGAAAAAGATGTGTGATCCACATGCGTTGATACAATATAGAGTACATACTGAACAACAACAGACCTTATGCATGATGGTTAACAACAGGCAGCGACCATCTTCGGGTCCAGGTCACCATAGCTCAAGCGACGCCCCCCCCACAACCAGCACCGAACGAACAGGTTCTTTTGGTGGGGAAGTGCCCTCCACTGAGCCGAAACTCCGTGTGGGTTAAAAAGCAATAATATACAGTATGTATATAGCATATATCCCAAAAAGCGGCTTTGCCGTTTGCCCGATTCGACTCAAACAACTTTGGACATTCATCGCCTCGGAACGGCTGGGGGACCACGTTTTGCTCCAAAGCTCTTGAGGGCATTTAACTATCAAAAAAACACGGTCCGCGCTGGTGGTGTCCAATCGAGTGTCCACTCCCGGTCGGCGCCACCGCAATCAAGTCCATGCCAGAGAGGGCGCAGGGCCAGGCTTGCGCTTGCACCGCGAAAGGCAAAGCTCCTCGTCATCAGGTGGCGACCAAGCCCTGAAGCTTGCTGTGGGTGTGCCACGTACTTGCAAAGGCACCCCCCCAAAAAAAGGGGTGTATTCCACTCAACCCGTCAAATGACTGAATTCTGTGTCGCACCAAGCACCCAGTCTGTGTCGATTCGGGCAGTGTTTCGTTTCGGCCCAATGCGGGAGGAGGTGATCGATCAGCACCCAGCTCAGTGTGAAACCCCTATAAGCAGGACGTCAATCCTCGAGCGCATCGTCTAGTCGCAAGTGCGAATCAAGTCAACTTCGGCTCAACGTCCTCAAGTGGACGAAGCATTGGGCTCGTGCTAGTTGCGCCGTTGTCCCAATATCGAAAGAGCATCTTCACTGGTCCCCTTGACCCCCCCCCCCACAGCGCCCCACCCCACACTGCCTCCACCCCCTCTCCTTGCGATTCGGCGCTGAAGAGTTCCATCGCCAACTCCTCCACGAAACTGGGGAAGGCGGTCTCTTGGAAGGTCTGGAAAGGCTTCGGCGCAGGTCTCCCTGGCGCAGGGTCTCGCAGCTCGGCATTCCCCCGATTCCCCCGATTCGACCTGCGAGAGGTGCGACATGACCGGTGCGGCAAGCGACGGCAGCACCCACCATGATCAACCTGCCGGGAAACCAACCAAATCCTCGACTTCCGAGAGATTTGGACCTGACGCACTCGCAGGAAAACCCAGGTGGTGGCGAATCCAACGAACCAGCCAAACGCCCCAACGCGGAATCGACCTGCCTCGCACCACTTGCACCACGATGCCATTCGCCTTCCGATATTCCTCCGCCTCCTCCTGAGACCTCTGTCCCAGGACCGGATGGGCCGCTTCCAAGTTCCCCCAGCAAAAGCGCTCGCACTGCAGGGACAAATCCGGATGGTTCAGGTAGAAGTCCTTGTGAATCTTCGCCAGATCACCCTGAGGCACGCGAACAGTGGCTCCCGTGCCTACTCCGGATGAACTCCGGTCGCTCTTGTCTGGGTCGTCTCGGGTCGTCCGACAGAAACGGCCAAATCCAAGGCGCCCCAAAAAAGCGCACGGTTTTTTCCATGTTCACCAGCAGCCAGTGGCCCTCCTCGATTCTGTCCCCCACCCAGGCCTTGAGCCAGTCGCCATCCTTCACAGGTTTTGGGATGATCCTTTCTCCTTCGAAGGGTTGCGGTGTCTGCTCGACCTCAGCAGGTCCGGTGCGAACGGGCGGCGCGGACCAAAGCGAGGAGACCGAAGCAGTTCTCATGCCATCTGAAGAACACTCGGAGGCGAGAAAGGACTCGGACTCGTCATGCTTTCAAGACTGAAAGGGCGGATTGACATGGATTGTTTTTTGCTGCAATTCTCCACAAGCATAGCCAGGTTAGGTGGATTGGACAGCCCACCCCACTCATTCTCGTGCTCACACCGTCGGACCTGGAAAAATCTCAGTCCAAGACGTCCATGAAAAGTTCCTTTCTTAGCAGCCCTAGCACTCTTGACCGCCGGAACGGTCCTCTGGTCCTCAAAAAAAGATCCCTCTATCCGGCCTCGGCCTCTTCAGCCATCTGGACACGCAGGAGGCCAGCTCCACATCCAAAAGCATGCACTCAATCTATGTAAAGAAGAAAGCTCAAGGTAGTCTAATGCAGCAGTTGTGCCCATCACATGTTTCTCATGACCACAGTCGATGACAACCTAGTGAGATTTCTTTTCGCAACCCTCAACCTTCTGCTGTGACTAAGAGGTATTTTGACATTGGTGTAGAGCCACCTCTCACATGACATGAGCTCCATGGCCTCTTGCCACTCCTTGACTCATCCATTTAAGAACTGCCAGCACACAAAGCTGAGAAACTGACCAAGCTGAGAAACTGGATCCTCCAAGTGAGCCACGTCGATCAAATAGTCTGACACACTTTCGTTGGGACACTCTACCCAGGGCTCCCGATGAAAACCTGCCAAATCCAAAAAGGTATCTGACTTGTCACGGACACCTGGTGCACACCTGGTGCAAACGAATGCAGCGACTCCGCACATCTTTTGAGAGGATTGGCGTGGAACGTTGGTGATCATTGACAAGAGAACGCAGCAGCGCAGCAGCGCAGCCCTTCAGCATGGGTCCAACTCAATGGCCCTCCGACTCCGCTGAAGGGGGGAATGTCTAATCTCGAAGAGTACCCTTAAATCGCAAGGCCCATGTCGAAACCACAGAGGGTGGGTGTTTTTCTCCTTCTTCACAGTCCAGTCCTACTCTTGAACATATGGGTCCAAACTTCAACCGACAAGGGAACAAGAGGGCGGGGCTATCTTCAGACCAACATGCTCGTCAGCTGAGTCCACTGCAACTGGGCTCGACTGGCCCGGCTTGAAACCACACGGTCACAGTATGGTGATCGGGTGGTCGCTGTTGTTTCAATCAGAAATTCTACAGTTTGATTAGTGGAGTTTGTCAAGGATTAGTGGAGTTTAGTTTGAACTCCTGGATTCAAGGAAACAAATTTGTGGAGTCTGCATCCTGTAGATTTGGAGACATGTTATGACATGTTCGTCCACCCATAAAAAACATCACTGACCGCATCACAGCCTGTCGGCTGCGCCGCCCATCCACTCAGAAGACGGCCTTCAAGACCTATTGATGGAAAGACACGGTGTTCTTTTCATTGCTGGATGAGGTGGGCGTGATCTCCAGCCCCTTCCAAAGCCATATCCAGCATCTCAAATCCTTGAACTCAGCATAACTGGCCCCTCCCGAAAACCTCTCAAACCCTCCAACGATGCAGGACGTCCGGTCACGTCCTTTCGCAGGGTCCGAGTCGGGGAGATCCGAGAGTCCGAACAAAAGAACAAGTACCAGGGCCCTGCATGGGGTGTCTAAGTATAGCTCCTTAGTAGGTGATTCGGGGTATCCATGAACCACCCCAAACAGGAAGCCCTGGTACACGTCCTCTAAGGAACACAAGGTCCTGCTTCTCTACCAAGGCTCAAGGCGTCGAAACCGCGAGTATACTGAGTATACCGAGTGTGCTTCGGTTACTTGCTACACCCCGTCAGGACGTCGTCGGACATTGGCAGAACAACTAGGAGAAACCGAAACCCTTTCTGTCCCCTCGGCCGACCAAGTTCGAGTCATGCAGTGCTTCGCTTTCGTCGATTGAACCATCACCTTTGCCAGCTGTCCACCCAGGCAGCTGTCCAGCCGGACCAAGACGAGAGGTTTCCGCACGAGGGCGAAACCCCCAGGGCCCCAAAGACCCGGCCGCGCCGAAGACCGCACCGAAGAACCCGGTCGGCATCCTGTGGCGCCTCGTCCACCGCCTGGCGCCGCAGTTCCGGCACATCGTCGGGGCCTCGGTTGCGGCGCGGCACCGGTGGATGGGGAGCGCCACAGCGGTGAGGCGACCGGGCCCACCAGGAGGGCCGGAGCACCAGGACCTTTCCACTCGTGAACTCTTCAGGATTGGTCAGTGAGGATTGGTCAAGACGCATTGGCAGCTAGCCTGAAAAGAATTACAGTACTTCAAGAGTAGATGGCAATGAGAGAGGGGCTATAGATGGCGTTTTAGCCAAGTGGGTTCCAAATGTGCGCGGGTAAAAGTAGATGAAACCGGTGACTAAAAAGCCACCGCTCTCAGAGCCATCTACTAGACATTTTCCCGGTTCCCAAAAACAGCATTGAACATGTCTTTGTCGCACAAGGTATGAAACCTACATGTGTCAATGCCAAGCACCCTCAGAATAGTGTACAGTAAAACAATAGTCACAAACCCCTTTTTCCTTGACATGTGAATGTAATATGACTGCGGCAATCAAATGGAGCTTGAACATGTGGACTTGGCTGCACCTCAGGCAGGTGCCATCTACTTTTTCCTGTCTGACCCCCGAAAAAAAGTGCAGCAGAACGAGGAAAAGTAGATGGCATCTCGACGTCGATTTTTGGACCACTCACCGCCATGTACTCTCAACCTAGAGTACAGTAGCTGAATGTACTGACGCACACGGTTTACGGGTTTCATTGCTCCAGGAGCAGGCTCTTCTTCCCCTTTCGCTGCCCCTTCCAAGGCACTCATCAAATGCCAGTCAGCAGCCGCCTGTCCCGCAGAGCCAAGTGGAACACAAAGGCATCATTATAGCTCTCTTGTGTGTTTGAGCTTTCGTAAGCCTCCTTTGACTCCTCACTTAACCCCGGCTTTTCCTTGAAAGGGCAACCTTTCACGGGCCTTCAGACTCAGCTGATGTGGGCTGTGTGGAACACAGACCATCGGAACTTCAAACAAACTGCTTGGTGGTGCCGGACTCCAGTTGTTCATCTACCTGGCTCTATGGTGACCCGCAGAACCCAAGCACTACCTGGCTCTATGTCTTTTTGAGAATGATAGAGGGGTCGATCTGGTACCGTATGCAAAACATCCATTGGTTGTTCACTTGGAGGTATCCCCTCAAGTGATATCAACCAACCATGGGCAAAAAGCCCATCGATGAGCACAAGCGTTGTGCCGCGCCTTCAAAGCCATGACCGCATCATCCGTTCGCAGTCTTCGCGACACCGCGGCCTGTGACTTGGGGCCTGAAGCGCGTTGGGCGGGTGGGCAGTGGCGGAGAGAACTCTTTTCAGCTGGGATGCTTGATCAAAATCGGCGCAGTGGGATTTCCTGGCGTGTCCGGCCTCCAATTGAGCTAGTTGCTTGCTTTTCTAGGCTGTTTGGTTGGCTGACTTGAGGAGGGAGAGAGAGAGAGAGAAAAAAATAAAAATAAAGAAAGAGAGAGAGAGAGACCTCACAGGATCTCCAAATAAGACATAAGGAGCACGTACAGAAAATGGATGGTCACAGCCGTGAGATTTTGGAAGGAAAAGAAGCAACAGCAAGTGTTCATCGACGCAAAATAATATGTTTGCTGCTTAGGATGGATGGAGGGCCCAGGCGAACAAGTTCTGTCTCTCTACCGATCTGAGTTTCAGCATCAGCTTCTTTGCTTCCAAACAGCTCCCTACGTTCTCTCAAGAAAGCCATCTTTCCCGATTTTGCTAGCATGGGAACGCATGGGAACACATGAGATGATGTTCCTATACGATCCATGTCGAGCCGCCCACCGCCCGAGCCCGCACCGAGCCCCCAAGCCATGCTGCTGCAGGACTGCCCGGCACGTCGCCGCATCCCCTGACTTTTGACCCGAGGAAAGAGTACGACACGTATTGTAATATATACCAGGACCCCCTTGGGGTGGTTAATACATACCCCTTAACCTCTAAGGAGCTATAATTGGACACCCTTAGGGGGCCCTGGTATAAATATAAAAGCTATATAATATTATGTGTTGTTGTTGTATATGTCCAAGTTGTGTTAAGTTAATTATTGGTGTTTTCTGATTTTCTTCTGTTGGCCATTCTACTACCAAGGACAAAGGTCTTCGAAGGGAAAAACCAGGCTCTTTCGTTTGGGTTCGCAGTTTCCTTTGGGTTTGCTTCGGTTCCCTGGTCCCGGGGCTGGGTTGCACAAACACACCAGTCGCACGACGGTCGTGGGGCCCAGCGTCCCAGAGGAAAACGCATCACTCGTGACACATCCCCTACCACGACTCGCTGACACATCAAAGCCATGAAGGCTTTGATGCAGTTTTTTCGTGGAGAATCAAACCAGCCCCACAAAGACATCCACGGGGAAAGTCACACACAGATTGAACCTGACGTAAATCCACTAATCAAGTGAAGTGCCGATTATGTTAATTAATGTAGACTCTTGATTGATAACCCCCCCCCGTGAAGAGGATGTCCAATTCAGTTGGGAGTTGGAGAGTCTACATTACATTATTGTTATTTGATGTTGGGGTCCTTAGCAGTATACCCATGTAGCCCACATGGTACCCAGGATTAATTTTCTAAGGACCCAAGCATGTTACTCGACTCCCAAAGCTTGTAACCATCCCTCCAAACCCTCCACGCGGCCATACGTGGCCCGCGTTGCGCGGTGGAATACGCCTGCCACTGCTGCTTGCACAAGGGCCTGGCCCCGTTGAAGAATTGGAAAAGGTCTGGACAGCCCGGTCTGTAGGGATGGGCCGAACATGGGACCGAAAACCGATGGCATCATGGCCATCCCAGCATCGGTTGGGTGTTAAGCCCAAGTGTAGGCTGCTTGGATTCTTCCTCCTTTCCGGCTCTGACCCATCCCTGCACAAACCCCTTTAGAAGCCAGACTGGTGCAAGGTCACACCTTTCTGCACCCAATGCACCCCCCCTCCAACCAGCCCTGGACAGCCATCTTCCAAGCCCTACAACCCTACAAAAGCCCCCCATCGTTCCCCTCTCACGGAAATGGACATGCCAACCCGGAACAAACACCACCAAACACCAAACACCAGGCACCAATAAATGAACAAACACCCAAACACCCAAACACCCACACCACCCACGCTGCCCCGCACTCCCAGGAGATCGCCTCTCGAATCACTCCCCGAGCAAAGGCGCCACGCGCCTCGTACAGTCATAGCGGGCACCGTCGTTTTTTTTCTAAGGAATGTGTTTTCACAAGCTGATAAACAAATGACATGAGCCTTTCGTTTGGTTTACAGTTAGACATGTGACATGTAGATATCCTTTCTCAAGGTTTTTACAGTTAGAGTTAGACCATACCATGATGCCGAAAAACGCCGTAGGTCTACAGATCATCTAATTTGGGAGAATCATCTCGGTCAATTTGGATTGTGAGGCTAGCATGCGTGCTCTAGCGTCCTATTACATAAGAACCCATGAACCTATACCTATACCCCACCCCTTCTCTTGGCTTCCAGCAAAGGACTCCGCTGCTAAGGGTCGCAAAAGCTGCTGCAGGGGGCCTGTCAAACGTAAAATGCTGACGGTGGTAGTGTTGCCCAACCCAGTCAGTGACTTGCATGCAACCTTGGATCAGGTATCTTCTCCAGCTCGCAACCCCGTGCAAGATCCTGCTTGCACCAGTCTAGTCGGTGCAGTAAGCCCTGAATCAAGAGGTAAGAGGTATGAGTTCCCTACGGATCAGTGGCCAGACCTCTTCACACTCCTAAAGTACCTAGTCACAGTCTAGTCTTTAAGTCTCCTTGGCTGCAGGCACCTGTGCTGCCAAAGTGCACCGCTCTGTACACGCAACCTGCAGCACGGTGCAAATGCCCAGTCGACGAGCCATCTGCAAGGCCAAGGCTCGATGATCAGGACGGCCAAATATGGCCCTACATGACCTGTTGTTCCATTTTCTGGGTGAATCACATGTCAAAAAGGTCCCCAAGATGTTCACCTGGCAGGCTGCACCTGCTGTGTGCGGAAAAAAGAAAAAAGAAAACACCTGCCAGTTCGGTACATGGATACATCCTGCTGTACCTGGTCGTCCAAACGAGGGATGTGTAAACCAAAAGGTTTGGGCGACGTCCTTGATCTCAAAATCATCTCAAAACACACTTCAAATCTTCGGAGAACTGGAGGTTCTTGCGTGACCCCGTCATCCTTACAGTAGCGACATCCAGCATTGGGTGGCCGCTTGGGTGGTCGTTTGGGTTTTTGCAAGTTTACATGCATTGGTTCCAGTTAGGCTTGACGAGCAAAACAGCCAAGTCAAACCACACGTCTAAACCACAACCTTGCCCCACCCACCCTTCCCCTTCCAACCCTCCCCTTCTTCCCCCACCCAACCCTCCCCTTCTTCGCCTGCAAAGTCCACTTCTTCGTTCGCCGTCCGCAAGGGTCCCACCGCCTCGTCCCCGCCACGGGGGTCGGGTTCGGTCGACCCGGTGTCAAGCGGCGGAACCGGCGAACCGAGGGCTTCGGTCGAAGCCGAAGGAGGTCGAACCGGCGCTTGGTGGAACTGTTGTCGGGAAGCTCCGGGACTTCCATCAATAGAAGAAGAAACAAAAACGAAGAAATTGGTCTATACTATAGTCTATAGAGTTCTACAGAGATATCCAGAGATCTAGAGCTAGAGATAGTCTCTTAGGTTTTCTCGAAGCAGCAAGCCTCGCCTCCACCAGCAGCTTCACGAGTCCGAAGCATTCCCGGTCCAACCCCTCGGGACGCGTGGAGCCGGCGAAGCGGGGCTGACCGGGGCCCGGCGGGTCACGGTGGATGGCTTTGGAAGCCGCGACCTTTGATGGGCCAGGTGGGTACTTGGCGGCGCCCTACTAAACCCAGCAAGGTGAGACGCCAAGTGTCCACCCGAACTTTGCTCCAGCTTGCGAGGCCCAGAACGAGCTGGCCGGGTCTGCTCCGCGAAGCCGGACGATCCAACTCTTGTCCCGCACAGATTGGGACGTGACCTTGACATCAACTTGTGGCAAGACATACCTCATCCCTTCCAGCACATCAAGGTCCCAAGAAGGGCCCTGTTAGCCACATCAAGGTTTGAAGAAGGGCCTTGGCCATGCCCAAAAATCCCACTCAAATCACCTGGACTATAAAGTGTTCATCTTGCATGGCCGCATGGCCCATGGAGTGCTGTGCCTCTCTGGGTGTTGGGGTCATAACTTTCCGTTCAATCGCCCACATCAAAACGGGTGGAACGCCGCCCACATGTAGAGGACCTCAGTTTTACAACTTTTTACATTCCTCCAATGTATGACAGTTTTGGCTACATTGGGGTGGTTTCAGTGATTCAATGTAGGTGAATATGCCGTACCATATATACATGAGTATACCTGGAGTTGTTAGCATTCCTGAAACCCTTCGTCACCGACCGAACGACCCGAACGCGAAACGAAGAATTCTGCGTCCAAGCCCGCGACGGCCAGATCGGAGGGTGGCCTGAAGGCCAGGTGAGGAAACGAGAAGGTCGAAATCTGCTGTTTCATCGCTGCGCAGGTCTTGAGAAGTGCCTAACTTTGCATCTGGAGGGAAGACGATTCGATGGAATCGAGTCCATTCATGTCCCCGATTCGATCGCACACCTAGATTCCAACCTGACGAAGGCGCTGGAAAGCTGAAAAAAATCTCCTCTGTCATTTAGTAGACATTTGTCCCTTCCTGGGGGAGAAACCATGAACAATGTGCCCTTGGTGGTGCTGATCATGTTCTTTCTGCTCAGCACCCGAAACACTCAGGGTCCTTCGGCGCGCCGAACACATCCCGCAGCACCAGCCTTTCTTCGATGCAGCCAGCATGATCCTGATGGCCCGTTACCAACGGCAGTGCGCATGACTCAACCGGAGTGCTCGTTGGAACGGTGGAAACCTCTCAAACTATGACGAACATGCACACGAGCAGGAAGCAGGGCTAAGTAGCGCATTCATGCGTTTCTTACCATGCATCCTCACGAGGTGAGACGTCTCGAGACATCTCGTTGGATCCCATCTGTCCAACCCTCCAAATGCCGAAAAGCATGACAGCTTCACGCACCTCACGTGGCAGCTCAACCCCCGAACCGTTCCACCGTCCCCCCTTCCACAGGCGCGCCCCATCTCCGCATCTCTGCTCTGGGCACCCCGAACGTCTAAGAGCTGCCGCCACTCTTTGGACAGCGCGCGCAGTTGCCACCAGGTCTGCACGTTCCCGCCACGGTCCCACGTCCGATGTAACCGAACGTCCGGATCGACCGGGATCGGATCCGAGGAGGGCGACGAGGCGGCGATCGAGCGCAACGGGTGGACCTTTTTGTTGCCAAGAACAAAGGGGCTCGGGCTTGAGGGAGAGAACCGAACTCGTGGCAAAGGGAAGAGGGCAGGACAAGATGGACCTTGCAGATCCTGCATACCACCCGCGAGCAAGGTGCAAATCATCATGCCAAGGAGTGTACAAGTTCCATCCTTTTTGCGAATCAAGCTGCCATTTTCCCATGCGCAGCTCGGCCAGCCAGACACGGTCACACGGTCACACATGTCTGTGGCTGGGATTCCGCACGCGGGGTGGCAAAAGCCGCAGGATCAAGAACCTCCAGTGGGAAGTCCGTGAGGGTGGCAGAAACGTTCATGGGAAGTTAATGAGAAAGGAAGATCGATTTTTTGTTCTGCTGCAAAAAACGGAAGATCCTGGAAATCAGTTCATCAGCTTCAAACTATTGCAGTCTTCCAACATCTTGCCCACCGCATTTCCCCACAGCTGGTAGGGTCCGCAGGCAGTTGTTGAGGTCTCATCTGTATGTAGCAATCCCCCCAAACCACCTGGGTTATCCTCGTCATGCAAACCTCCGTTTTCTCCTGCTTCCTCTCGCCCAACGATGCAGGTCGCATCGATCACGCTCCCTGGACACCCCAACGCAGCGGTCGCGTCATGCAAGGCCAAGTGCAGCAAGGGAGTCTGGCGAAGGGCGTTTCGCAGCGAAGCGTTGGGCGCCGTGGCGCGACGAGGGGCCCTTGAGATACACCAGGGGTGGGAGGCACGACGCTTCGCAAGACGGGACCCAGAAGCCAAGCTATAGCTGCCTAGAGCCCATTCGACCTCCGTCTATTTTGATAGGAACAGATATGAAAAGACATATTTTGAGCGTTTGTGGTCCAAAATCGAGGTCACTCAGATTCTAGGTGGAGACAGCTGGTACCTTCCGAATTGCTCAGGGCTCCTTCCTTCTTTGGTCGACCGCGGGGCAAAACAGCTCGGGCCTGATCCATGCGCATGCAAATCCTCTGGGGGGGCCGCGAAAGTTTCTCCACAGCCCCCTCCACGGCTTTTCGGCCTTTCACTGAAACACCTGATGTCCTCAATCGTGAATCCTCTGGCGGAACCGTGTAAGGACCGAGCCTTGCTGCTCTGATTATTCGCTTCTCTTTGATACTCAGCGAGGGGACATCAAGTGCAGAATCTACATGGCAAACAGTCTTTGGGCCACACACAGACCGTGCATTCAAGTCAAGTTCTTTCCGGCACAAACGCCTTCAGCAACCTGATCCTTCAATGACAGTTTGGAACAAGGTGCACAAGCTCGAGAACACATGTGTTTGTTATCAAAAGACCGATTGTGGCCATGTAAACCTGCACGAACTCATGACAATCACGTCAAAATGCGTCGTGTTGAAGACAAACGTCACCAGGACGAACAAAGGAAATCCACTGCTGGAGGAATAAACCACCGCCATATCAGATCACATCAATCACATCCCTGCAGGCCCTGCGCAGTTTCTTTTTCCTTTGCCAGGACTCACATCTCGTGCCAGCTCTTTGACTGCACCACGATTCAGGCCTGAACGCTGGCCGCGCGGGTGAGGCGGTCGCGAGTGCACCATGATCCGAACGGGGCGCCCAGGTCACCGCGGGGAGCTGTTCGACACGCGGTCACGCGCGCCTTGCGCCTCCTTGTAGTTTCTCCAGAGCTGGTCGACATAGGCCTGCTATGGCAGTCGCTGGGTCCGAGAGTTGGGGAGTGGGTCTGCGCTCCGCCTGGCGCGCGGCATCCCGTCGCACCGGGATCCACTCGAGACCGGCGGCCTGGGCTGCCAACATCGACCTCAGTCCAAGTCCCGCATGGGCCGCCATCGTCTCCCCCGTTCAGTCCCAATCGAATCACAGGGGCCAGAGTTTGGAAACCAACCAAGATCTACCTAAAGTCAGCAGAATCCGGGTGAATCTCCGAAGTTCCGATGATCAGATCCATCCGTTTGATGCTGTGAACAACTGGATTCAAGGGACCTTTTGGGGTCTGGAAAGCTGCTTATTGAAAGCGGAAACAACGCCACCATGTTCAAGCAGAGAAATAAGGCTTTAGCTGGACCCCTCTTTGTGCCGAGTGAGTTCCGCATGAGCTCCGCGTGAAACCGTCTCTTGTGGACGAGCGCTTTGCATTCAAGCAATTGAATGGGTCTGCAGGCATTTTTGCTGCTCCCCCCTTTCCCCAACAAAAGACGGGAAAAGCAAATAGGGCTTCTTTTGCTACTAAGTTACTATATATACATTGCTATACTACTATCTGAAAAGTTGTTTAGGTCTGGAAACCGATTTGGTCTGGCGGCACACTCCTTTGCACATGTTCAGTTGCTGTGACCCTTCCATCTCTATCCACCAGGCGGTGCAGAAACCCTTCCACCGTTTCTCTCACCCAGGGCGGCACTCCGTGCTACGCTCCGCACCTTCCCCAAGTTCGCAAGCCCTGCATCTCATTCGGGACCTACGGGGAAAGCTGTTGGTCACACGGGCAAACAAGTATCTTCCAACTATGCCAAATTTTTGCCTTTGGGCTGTTGCTCATGGATACATGGAGATCCAAACGAACAATCCAGTTTTGCGGTTTGTGCCTACTCTGACGTTCAAGCACTGCTGGCTTTACTGGCTCTATGATGATAGACGCGGCATCCAGATTGATTCTGATCAAAAGCTGGAAGGCCAGACCCATATGGGTACACGTTCAATTGCCGATGTTTGGCGTTCTGCTTCTGTAACCAGAGGAGGTTGGGGACCAAGACCTAAGGCTGTACTTGCCAGAACCGACCTAGCCAATCCAAGCCGTGCGTTCCGATGCGGTGAGCTGGCGTAGCACTGGGGTCTTGCTCACCCGCAGTAGGTTTTCAAGCTTATCGAACACATAAACCAAACCACATGGTGGGACCATTCTACAGTAAGTAGCTGGACTTTCGGGTGGCACAGCCGCATGGAGGACCCACCGGCGCGGACTGGGTGGTGGCGACAGACTCAGACTCAGACTGAGCTACTCAGTGCACGGCCTAAATGACCCAGGTTGACAACGGGTGGAGGGCCTACTCCCAGGCTGACCCCTGTGTTTTTTGGATATGATGTTGCATTGGTGATTCAGTTCCTATGCAACACATGAGGTCAAGCCCCGCAAATAGCAACCAAAAATACAACCTTGAACTTGAACTATATAGTAATACACATCATTGGACCTACTAGGTCAACGAGATCACCCAGGCCAACAAGGCCAGCATTCTTTTTTTCATCGTTCGGGTGTTCGCCCTATTGATTATGCGTCCATGCCTTACTGTTCATGTATACCACCTGACTGTGAATCCACCTGCCCAACCACCTTCCGCCCTCTCTGCCTCGTTGGGACACTCAAAAACTACTCGCGTGATGCCAGCCGCCAGCATGGCCTCCAACGCAAAATAACTCCAACCCGACTCTCAAAAACACACACGAAAAAGTCGATCGTTGCAGGGCGGCGGCAGACGGGATCCCGCTTTTGACCTTGACGCTGCAGCCACATTATGGCGCCACTTTCCTAGTAATGCGACGTTACATTCCCTGACGCCACATTCCCCCCTGACGCCGCATTACCCCCTGACGCCGCATTCTGGCGCCGCATTCCCTGACGCCACATTACCCCCTGACGCCGCATTCTTCCCTGACGCCACATTCCTCCCCTGACGCCACATTACTCCCTGACGCCACATTTGATGCCACATTCCCTGACGCCGCATCCCCCCCTGACGCCGCATTCCCCCCTGACACCGCATTCTGGCGCCGCATTCCCTGACGCCACATTGCCCCTCTGACGCCGCATTACCTCCTGACGCCACATTGTGGCGCCACATTCCCGGACGCCGCATTTGCCCGTGACGCCACATTACTCCCTGACGCCGCATTCTGGCGCCGCATTCCCTGACGCCACATGCCCCCTTTGACGCCGCATTACCCCCTGACGCCACATTGTGACGCCGCATTCCCTGACGCGACAGGACCCCGTCTGATGCTCCAAACTGCACGAAACGGTTCTTCGTAGCAGGGGCCGTTTTGACACTGTTGAAGCAGCAGGCAACCCCAACACATGTCCAAGATATGGCAGAACACACAGCGCAACAATTGGACATTGTGTTGTATTAAAAGGTAAGAAGCCCCCCGTACCGCGCACGGTATGATTGAACATAGCCTTCCTACTTAGCTCAACGTACCACTGAAACGGGACTGGGCACCCTTAAGAGTAAACTTGTGCGTTGAAGCTCTTGTTCGTGCAAATCTGCACTAAACTCTGCCACTCCCATCACCCTGACATAGGCTTCAGATGATACAAAACGCCAGGCATCCTTGAGTCTGGGTTGAAATGAGGCCCAACATGGGCCCACAATTCACTCAACATAGCTTCAACTTAGCCTCCAAATGGGTCCAGCGCGTCCAACAGAAGTTTTTCGAATATTCGGGTAAGTCACGTCATGGGGACACATGCGCAAAACCTTCAAGATAAGTATGAATGGTCTGCTCTCAGAATGCAATCCCCCCATGACAAAGGCTGGTTTTTTCTCGAAACCATGTGTATATCACGCTGCGCCGGCAGCTGCCATCACTTCCATTGGGGATGGTACCTGATATAACATGATGAGAGTCAGGGAAGAAAAGCAACAATACAATACAACTTATCTATTTGATCATGTCTGTCATGACCCTTGCATTTTTCATCAATGGATTTGGGTCCAATTCATTGGACCTTGCAAACCACAAAATCCTTACAAACAAGGCCATCACCGGCACAACAGCGTCGAAATGATTATTTTCGGCGCTGCCACGATAACGCTACTTTTTTCGATGCGGCCAGGACCACTGCGGGAATGCGACCTTGGATTTCCGGTCAGAAGGTCCTGGTGGTACCTATTTCAGTCTATCCTTTGTCATGTTCACCGTCCACCAGCTAACAAACCCGGACACACACTCCACAGCTGTGCGTGTCTTCTGTAATATGTATGTTGTAGCAATGGCAGTCGTTAGTCAGGGGCCGTCTGGGAGGCAAACCACAAATCTATGGTCCAGCTTTCATGTTTGACAAACAAAAGTTGATGTTTCAACGTTCCAGTGTGTTCAGGAGGAAAAGCTAGCAAACAAAAACCACCCCGAGATATCCCAAGATATCGCAGCACAAACTCCATGAATGGATGTAACATGATGTAACAACTGTACCTTCTCTCTTGAAG